GAAATGTTGATGGCAACATATGTACAAGTGTGCTTAATACAATTGAATGATGGATTGTTATAAGATTTGTAAGAGCCCTCCAATAAAATGATTAATAAAAAATAAAAATAATGCAGTACCAGCAAAGAAAAAAAACAAAAGACCAATATCGCTATACTTTTGAATTTTTTTCTCCTTCATTTTACTTAAATATTCCAAAGGGAAAAATTAATAATGCTTCCTTACTTTATCAGCAAAATGTTGGATGATGAAGGCTTTATTTGAGAGGCGGGGCTTTTCGAAAAGTGCACATTTGTTCAAATGCGTGTTGTACAGTTTTTGGGCCCAAGTGTCATCTGAACCTTTTGGCATCTACACACAGCGGGGGAAGAAAGATGAGAGAAAACAAGGCAAATGCTGCTAAGAAATCTAGTATTTATTTATTTTTATGTATCAGCTTCCAAAAGACCATTTTCTGGCTTTATCTAACAGTTTTATATTCATTTCTCCCTAACGGGTCAAAAATCAGTTACTAATAAAAAGTGCATGCTTGAGACCTTTCCTCTGCCATTGAACCCATTCCGACTCATAGCGACTGCGTGAGACTCCTCACGGGAGCAGACGACCCGCCTTCCTGCTGGGGAGCTGTCAGTGGGTTTGAACGACCTACCTGGTGGGGCTCTGTCTGCTTGGGTCAGGCATCATCAAATAAGTATGTGATATGATTTCACGGCAATACTAACGCAAGCAAGCCCTCACGCATTAAAATAAAATACGATAGTTATCATGTATTTTTAATTCGTTAAAGCATAACATCTGCACCTACTGAAACATTTAAATGATTCAGAAAGAAACAAAAGGGAGGGTAGCTCCCTGTAGTCAGTTCTCTAACCTAATGATCAGTTCCTACTTCCAAAGCTTGTTCATGAATGGGGTCATTCTATAAATTCCTCATACTTTCTCTTTCTTCTCCTTAGTCATGGAATTCTCCTGTTTATGGACACGAGGCTGTCCCTGGCTTTTATTGTTATGGAGACTGAAACAGTGACTTCTTATGTCCACGCACGTTCTATACTTTTGCAAGTTGATGCCCAAGGTGGAACTGGGTCAAAGGTTTTTGTATTTCTGATTTTGATAAACACTGTCAAATTACCTCTAAAACAGGCTGCTCTTCGTCAAGAGTGTCAGTGCAATCAAGCATTATCAAAAGTTAAACCATGCCAACCGAATAGCTAAAATTTAAATTTAAACTTTGCCAACCTGATAGCCCATTTTCAGTTTGATTTGTATTTATTGTCTAGTCTTGAATGAGAGTGAAAAATCTCTCCATTACAGGCACTGTTAATGTGGTAGGGTATCTGGATGCTTAGGAGATAACCTCTGGCAAGCTTTACTTTACGCTCAACAGAAATGAAGAGAAACAACAGGCTGTTTGCCTAAGGGTGGGGGGCAATTCAGTTAGGCAGAGGTCAAGCAGGCAATCCACAGTTTGATCCAACACCCTGCATCTTCACCAAATGTTAAAGTTGGAACTCCAGGCCTGCCTTGTAGAGCAGTAATAAAGAACTAACTAACCAATTTTGAAAGCATAGCTCTTTAGAGCTATTATTCAAAATCTCTTGCCAAATGTCTTGCATTTCTTTAAATATATCCTATTGCTGAACAAAAAAAAAATTAACTAGAAGCATGCCGACAACAAATGTGATGCTTTCGTTTTAAAGCCACAGAAGTACTAACATTGGTAGTGGTTGCATCCAACGCAAATATTTCACAAAACTTGGAATCATCCAGAAGGGAAAGAAAAAATCTAATTGCATTTGTAATTGGAAACCTGGAGGTCTAGTGACCCTTCAGAACACAAGTTAGTGTGGTCCCCCTTATTGCCACAGAGGAACTTCGTGGTTTATTAATGAATCACTGCTTAAATCCACTTATCTTCTGCCCTTGACAGGTATAGTGAGTGGTAGACTAAGCATGCCAGGAAATCGTACTTACCTTGCATTCCTCATCTAGCAAATCCAGAATGCCCAGTTTAGATTCAATAAGATTTATACAAGGCTGATTATCATAAAAATCTATGAGCGTCCATGGGATTTGTTCCTTCATATATTCCTCTTGTTCTAATTTGAAGACATGCTAAAGACATAAAGAAAACACCAAGCATTTTGGATTATTAACATTTTTTAAATGCTAGTCAAGAAACATTTAAGTACAGCACGCTGAGGGGATACCAACAAGCTTTGAGATGGTCCATGCTTTCCATCAACAACAATCCTGTGAGAGAACTGTGATTTATGCACAAGTAGACAAATAAAGAGCCTTCCTGGTCACCACTGACTTGGTGAACCAGTAAATCTAGTAAGTGAATGCTTTAAATAGCTGATAAACGAAGCAGATCTTTCTGAGTTTTTGATATGTATATCCCCAACAATGTACTGTGTACTTAAACTATCTTAAACGATCACACAGCGACTGATGGTAATAACCCGGGACATAGCAACATCTTAACTGATGTCCTATGCTGTGCCGCACGCTCTGCCTAACAAAGTCACTCTCTAAAGCGACTGTGGTCCAAGTGCCTCAGAATTCCATGGTGGTCTATCGTTTCTCCGTGCCTGGGTTCTTCTCCAGGAGTCCTGATGATGTATGGGTTACATGTTGGGTTACAAACCGTGAGGTCAACAGTTTGAAACCACCAGCTGCTCCGTGGGAGAGAGATGAGGCTTCCCACTCCTGTAAAAACTAGTTACAGTTACAGTTTAGCAACCCACAGGGCAGTCTTAGTCTGTCCGTGAGTCAGAATTGACTCGATGGCAGTGAGTCTCGTTCGCCTGGTTTTTGTTTCGTTATTCTCCAATATGTGGGATTCCGTAGGTAGCTGCCACCGCCATCAATCCATCACTCTTTCGGCTAAAGGCTCCAATCACCCTCATCACAACGGCATCACCCTCCACCACTCATTTCAGCAAAATAATGTCCACTACGTGCTCAGGCGGCCACACGGACCTGGACAGGAATCGACCAGTCCCTAGGCATAGCATGACAAGCCACCACGATGCAGGCAGAGACCAGGAGAGCCGCAAGAACACACACCAGAAGTCCTGACGACAGGGAAAGACGACGTGGCCGGGAAAGAAGGAGGCTGTGAGGCCAGTTCAGAAGATGAACCGCGCTAAGCAAGTCCAGGAGGGAAAGGCTGCTCCCGGCTGCCGTGGGCAGCGCTGCTGACCCCACACTGGCAGTATGGGCAGACCACGGGCCCTTCCTCCGGGATTTCGTTTTCCTTCGCTTGTCTCTTGCCTCTCCTTTGTCTCGCTCAGGTATGTTGCTGCTTTTCCGCCAAGGCCTGTCTATTGTGTCGACGACCAGACCTCCCCACCCCCCACGGCCCCCTGTTCTAGGACCCAAAATACCATGCCACTTTGGTGCCACGGAGGTCTGAGAGACTCCAGACACACCCCTCCTTCCATTGCGCCCGGGCCATTCCCGCTTTGTTCTCTTGTTGCCGTGCCACCCTTGGATGGTTTGCAGTGTGTGCAATCTGACCAGCTGCAATAAGCTTGAGACAAGAATGTTTCTCTCCTGCTAATTGGAAAGCACATTTCTCCTTTTCTTTAGATGACTGAGAAGGTGAATAGGGCACAGCGTGTCAGCAGGATGCTCTGACTGACGGTACCAACATTTTCTAAAACAATGAGCTCTGTCATTTTCCATTTCATTAATTTAGATGCGGCCTCACCATTAACAAGAGAAGCACCGCTCCAGATGTTAAACAGAAATTGTTGCTTAGCCACATCTCTATGTATAGCTTGTGTGTGTGTGGAGGAGGGGGGTAGAGAACGTGCAAAAATGTTAGATGTTCAATTGCAACAAAGTGATTATGGACACGCGGTTCAATAAGGCCAGGGACCCTGGCTCCATACCATGCATCCAGCACCAAGCATGCCCATCACAGTGCTTATTAAGCCCGCTGCCCCACCAACAGCCCTGGCTGAGGGCCCAGCCCTGTGCGGGCATGTCTTGACTTTGAGACCCATGTTCCCGGTCACAGCTGACCAAGCCAAGTGTGGGTTGCGGTGGGGTGAAATTTCTGAATATGGCTCTTCTCGCCACGTCTGCCACTCCCACCAAATGACTAGCCAGGACTATGCAAACAGGGCCTGTGCCACACTTCCAGAGGGGATTGGTCAGTTTTTGTTACCGCCGCCCTGGCTGTAAAGACGAGCCATCTTGGGAGCAGTGAAGAAGAGAGAGAGCCGAGGACCCTGCGCGAACACGTTCACGCTCTCTGTCTGAGACCAGACGCATCACAGACTGGGCACAGAGACGCCGAGGACGAGCACCAAGACTGTGGACAGCGTGACAGGTGGGCGGTCTTTTGACTCATGGAGGCAAAGGGCAAGGGCTCACAGACAAAGAACTGGAGAGAGACTTGACGACCAGGTGGCTGAGAGACTGAGAACCAGAGAGAGGCTTGACAACGGGCTGAGCAGAGCACTGACTGTATCCTCACTGTTTGCTGATCCTGACTTGTGGTAACCTATTCACTTCCCTAATAACCCCACTGATAATTGTCTTTGAATTGTACTGTCTTTGAATTCCGTGTGGCCCTTGCAGCGGATTGTGGGACCCAGCATCCGTGCACAGGGCCTTGGGAGGAACGGCGGGTGTTACAATGGGGAAGGAAGGTGGGCCATGGAGACGCGCCACACTCCTGGCTTGGGAAGCGAGAGGAGGTCGGGTATGTCCACTTCCATGGCCAGGCTTTGCACAGGTCCCAAGGGCACACTACTGAACAGGACTGGGTCCAGTCGAGCACTTGGCTCAGGAATCTGAAGGAGAAACTAGGAGCGAGGAAGGGCTTTAGCCGTGCGAGCAGAAACACCGATGCAGGCAGGCTAAGTAAGTCGGAAGAAGAGGAGAACCTTTTCAGCACTGCTTTCTTTGCAGGACGTTTGACGTGAATGACACAGCAGGAACTGAGGACGCAGATACAGACACACCCCGTGCCATCCCACAAAGAGGCAGTTGTGCAGGGAGATGCCGGCTAAGATGCCGTGGGGGAGGGGGGGGGCTGTGCACAGGCACATACGTGTACATTTGTGTAAGGTGGAAAAACAAATGGATACAGCCGAACAGAGAGCACGGAAAGCTATAAGGGGGAACAGAAACACCTGGGGAAACTAGCTAGACCCCCAGGTGGCTGTGGCTTCTTATACTGGTCACCTTGAGCCAAAATATCCTGAGCAAAAGCTAAAGGCGGTGACACTGAAGAAAGAATTGAGACACCCATTAGAACTTGAAAGATGAGATTGCTCGCTTTCGTCTTTGAGGTTTTCATGAATTTACCTATGAAGATAAGCAAATGGCACCCATCACAGGATTACAGAAACAATTGGAAGCCTGAAATTTCAAGACCATCCTCACAGTCCACTGTGCTCAGCTGAATTTGCTATACACAGATGCTAGACGCAAATATTGGAAACTGTTGCTCAAAGTAAAAAATGTACACTTAAAACAAAATCAAACAAGCTAAAAGGTTTTATAACGCCAAGTAACAACCCTGTCCCACCCCCCACCTACTCCCAGCCCTCCCCTGGTTCTCCAGAGGCAACCATTTTTAAAAGTTCTTAAGTTATTTCTTCTCTTTTTGCCTCAGTATTTCGCTTTAAACATGGTTACTGATACATTTTGATGTATCATTTTGAAATGGATTTCCTGCTAAGGTTAGAAAAACAAAAACAAACTCTCGTTTCCATCCATTGATTCCAACTCCTAGTGACCCTACAGGGCAGCACACCTGCCCTCGTGAGCTTCTGCAGCTCTCACTCGTTGTCGGAGCACATCGTCCTCCCACAGTGACGGGGTTTGAACTGCTGACCTTGGGGTTAGCGGCCCCACACGTAACCCACTACACCACCAGGGCTCTATCCTGCTAAGGCAGATGAAGTTACACGCACACATACCATCCACCTCTCCACTGTACCTCACTGTCCTCGATATTGATCATTTTAGATGCTCCTGGGTTGTTTTTTAACTTTTGAAACTTAAGTGATTTTAGACTTAGCATATATATATTTTTTAATTTTTTTCTTTTAAAAATCACTTTATTGGGGGCTTGTGTAACTCACTATCCATCCATCCATTGTGTCAAGCACAATTGTACATTTGTTGCCATCATCATTCTCAAAACATTTGCTTTCTACTTGAGCCCTTGGTATTGACTCCTCATTTTTCCCCTCCCTTGCCGTCCCACCTCCCTCACGATCCTTTAATAATTTATAAATTATTATTATCTTGTCA